TAATTTGATTATATACAATTTCTAACTTAAACTAAAACAGTAAATCTAAAACATTGGCTACCTTAATGATGAATTACCAATTTATTTTATAAAACTATATTGATGATTGTTTGTTTGTCGCTGGCATAATGACCCAATTAAGACATTTCGCTGATCGTTGCTGACCGCGCGGAAGTGTCTGCTCGGGTCGGTGCACTATTGCGACAAACTTGTCGAAATGTTAAATTTTATAAAAAAATGAAAATTGTTCGTTTGAACAATAGCCCTCTAGTGTTTAATACCGTTGAAAAGCACTTTTAATTTCCTATTATTACTCTATTTTCTCTAAATAAAACAAATATTACTTATTTATTATTTTATTCTTGCAATACATAAACATTTACTGTGTTTATGAAAAAAAATGTTTTTTTGCTGCAGGCTATTATAAGAGGAAATAAGGAAGCTCTGTCCCAAATTGTAACTCTGTTCAATGATATTTATGGCTTTTATTGGCAAAATTTTTGTACCATTACTAAATAATTGTAAAAAAAACATATACAAGATCATCAGTATCATTAAATAGACATAAAAAAAGTCAAATGTTAAAAAATAAATGTCAAAATACAGAAAGAATTTTTTAAACATTTTTTCAATGTTCCAGGTAACTTATCTTACTTGAAACTATTCTCTGGGGCGCGAGTTCTGGCGCACCCTGTATATTTTAAATTTTTCAGAAAAATACTTTTTACATAAAAAATTCCTAATCATACATACAGAGCCCAGAAATTCCAATAATTTAACCACAAAAATTATCTGAAAAATTAGTCGATTTTATAGATTAATTAATAATTTTTTCTTCTGTAGGTGTGATGTAATTTAATAATTTGATTTTTGATTTGATTTTTTTTATTGAAAATTAAAAATCTGTTTTGTTTAATTTTGTGAAAACGAAAATTTTTGAGTAGTAGCATATAACAACAAACTTAATCTCTTTTAGAGACACAAAACCGGTCTTCTTTTACTTGATCTTTCTTTTTCCAACTATCTAAATCTTTTATGAAACATGCCAAGTGAAAGGCTTAAGATAGCGGTTTTTATTGAATTTTTTATGCAGAAGCCAAATTTGTAACCTGTTTGTTTTTATCAATCCAATCAAACTTTTTTTTGATAAAGTTTTTTGGTAAAAAAAACTGTAGTGATAAACGATTCCACGTGTTTCAAAAGTTCAAAAAGAAGTTGTGTAAAACGGATTAGACAAACGGCACTAGACTTTAAATCAAATAAATTTCAAATATAAATTTTTTGACATTTTTAGAAAATAGTATCAATAAAAAAAATGCAATTTTCTCAAAACTCCTTCAGTAAAAATTAAAATAGCAATATTGTAATTTAGCACCCCAATAAACATAAAGAACACTTAATTTCGTCTAAAGAAGAAAAAAAGTGAAAATTCGTTAGACGATGTAATTAATAGACATTTTTGTATTGTAGGTAGGTAAATTAGAATTTTAAAAAGTATTAAAATAATAGTTAATAATTTTGTGAATTAATATGTCTCATCTTTATGCATCTGTAAGTTTCTTATTATTCTATACTTTTAATATTTTCCTTCATTATTCTCTTCATTAAAAAATTAATAACTAATTAATTAATATTTCTACACAAGTGTTATTTTTTATTGTTTACAACTTGCATTTTGGTTGTTTAAGTAAATTTTGGATGAATTTCTTCAAATTATGTAAATGTCGGGCAGAGACATCGAGCTAATGAGCGCCAATTAAGACATGGGAGTTTATTTCCCTATTAATAGTCAATATGCAAATCTATCCCGTGCACTATTAAGATATTACGTTACCAAAGGTCACTTACACCGGACCACCAACCGTCATAATCCTCTAATTTAGAACTAAACCTATCACAGTTTCTCTCCTAATAATGGTAATTGCTGGGGTAAGCCTTAATTAGTAGAAAGCTGGTCGGATCCCTCTCTGTGTAAACTCCCAAATTTGAAGGCTCATATGGCCAAGAAATCAAATTTAAATATTATGTCTGTTGGTGGTAGTGCTGAAAGCATTAACTGAAATTAATTTACTCCGGCATTCAGTAGTCGCGGGTCAAATTTAACTGGAACGAAGTTTCGCAACAACTTTCGAATTAAGTCGCCGGTTGACGTTAAATGCACTTGTAAGATTAATCTGCTTTGTTAGTGGCATAACAATTAACGAAAGAGGCGCCCACCTAGTCCCCCCTAAAACCATATTAGTTACAAAGCTGTCAAATGAGATTTATTTGATGGATATCGCAGCTCATTAGAATCAACACCAAAATTGGTTTTGTAACCGCGAAAAATCTCCGAAATTAAATTCCGATCCTTTCGCCCAACTTAACATCAAACGTCTTAAGCATAAAATCTATCTATTGGAATAAAGGGAAAATTCTCGGAAAAATTTAATAGTCACGCTGCTACAATTTCAGGAATTTTGCGACGGTGCCGAGGCTCAAGTATCAAGATAATGATCTTATACGTTAACATGTGATACTTTCAGGACGAGGTGTACGCTTGCTGAATTAATTGGAAACGGTTACACTCGCAACGATTAATTTAAATCTTTCAGTTTCAGCCTGATTTCATCGACATGACATCTTGCGGCAGATGGATGAAGTTGAGAGACGAGAATTACTGATTAGCAGGTTTCAGGGAAATGAGGTGTGGGATGCAAAAGTAAAGATTTGATGAAAGTTTTAGACGTTTCAATGATTTATTCTCAAAAGTTTGGGTGCGTTTAGAGCAGGCCCGAACCATACACACGATTTTTTTATCACTGAATTTCCAATTGTAAATAAAAAAGTTCCCATTCAAGTCAAAATTTCACTTCTGTATTTAAAAGTTTATTACTAAATTATTATTATTACTAAATTAGCAATTCCGAAAAACAAAAATGTTAAGTTTTTCCAAATTCCAAAATCGTTTAATTCAAATATAAAAAGAAAGTATTTAAGTTAAAGTTTAGGTTAAGGTCAACTTGTACTATTAAAGCAAAATGAGAAAAAAATAATAAAATGGCAAAAAAAATTCTGTACTTATACAGGATGTTCCGTTTTTATTGTTACAAATTTAAACAGGTGATAGGATATTTAATTCTAAGACAAAAGTTTCCTACAAACATGTATCGAAAAATGCTTGGTAAGGGAGCTACACCCCCTGAAAGGGAGCTAATAGGTTTTTGCTAATATTTCAGAAACCATTTAAGATAAAATTACAAAATTTGGTACAGATGATAACCTTTATACACCTAAACGAATTCAAACATCAAATGTCAAAATTTTTAATCAGGGACGTCCGAAACTGGTGGGGTTTATGGTAAAAAATACCCTATCTATTTTGGCTTTAGTTTCTTTAGTTATGCATTGACCAAAATGGTGGTCACTTTGAACAACTCCTTTAGATTTAAGCAAATTCATTTAATTAATGTTATTATTGTTACTGTAATGTAATGTTAATTAGTTGAGGTTGATTAAAAAAATATGAATTTCTTGCTTTTATTATTCTGTAAATTCTGATTTATTTGAATGTTGTATTGGTGTGTAACATAAATTTTAAATTAATTTTATTCAAAAACAATAAGTCGTATCGACACAAGAAAAACTTTTCTATGATAAACTATCGAACTTAAGATTTTGTTGCTGAAAGTACGGAGAAACTAAAGCCAAAATAAATAGGGTATTTTTTTTTACCTTAAACTCCCCCAGTTTCGTACGCCCCTGATTGAAAACTTCGACATTTGATGTTTGAATTCGTTTAGGTCTATAAAGGTTATCATCCCTACCAAAATTTTGTAATTTTGTCTTAAATGGTTTCTGAAATATTAGCAAAAACATATTAGCCCCCTTTCAGGGGGTGTAGCTCCCTTAGCAAGCAGTTTTCGATACATGTTTATAGGAAACTTTTGTCTTAGAATTGAATATCCTCTCACCTGTTTAAATTTGTAACAATAAAAACGGAACAGCCGGTATAAAAAAAATATTTCTTTTTTTATTTATTTCTTCTAATATCTTAAATTTTTTCATGTAACTAATCATTCAGTTATAATTGATTTAAACAGGCATTTCAAAAAAAATCTTTAATAAAAATGTTAAATTTTCTTCAGCCCAAGTGTATTTAAACAACGTTTTAATCCTGAAATAAAATTCCCAAATTCTAAACTAAAAATCTGTTTGTAAGTTTCAGAACTCTATTAATTTGGAGAAGTTTAATAATCAAAATTTGGGGGTTATCTTAATTTGAGGTTTGAGTTAAGATCAGACAACCCCGACTTTCGCTTATCTCTTGAACAATTCAGACAAAAAGAGCAAAAATAGGACCTTAAAAAAATATTACTCTGTAAATGAAGAAAATTTTATTTTTATCAAGCGTTACAACTAAAACATAAACATTTTTTCTATGGAAGACATCATAAAAACTGAAGTATGGTTTTGGAACAAATTAACAAAAAATGTCAATTTTCCGTAACAAGCTGAAAATTTTTATTAGATACATGAAATGTAGAAATAAGCGAAATTGAATATGTCGCGTGTGAATCGCTGTAAATTGGCCAAGTTCAAGTACATAACCCGGCTTTTTCCGGGAATAAAATTCACAAGTCTTCAGTTTGTATTTGCTTTATTTTTACATCGAGTACGGTTACACACAAGTATACATTACTTAATCATTGTATCAAGTCAGTACTTATTTACAAATTATTAATACTACTTTATCCATGAATAAGTTGAAAATCTGTTAAAAAAATAAATTGTACATACACAACGAATTATACACAAGCGTATCGATTTCAATACATATTAGTCGCACCCCCGCTCTCATTACACAATTTTTACAGCAATTAATAGGTGCATTAGACAAAATTTAAATAATTGCATAAGGCTAGAGTGGATAACTGAATTATTGTGCACTCTAGACTAAACGAAATTAGAGTCTCAGAGGTGCGCAACGATCTCAAATTAAAAAAAAAAACATAAAATGTAACAATGCAACTCGTCCAGGACCGGAATTAGAAACAAGTAACCGCGTTGAAATAGCATCTCCAATAAACTCGTCCTTTTTGCTGCCCTGACATGCTGCCATGACCTCTCCTTTGCAGATCCATCTGCAAAAAACACATTTAAATCGAGGTCGCAGATTGCAATTACAGAAACCTAGAAAATGTTACTGTCAGTATTCACTCAGGAAATGCAAATTGGGCTCGCAATCAAACAACATATTCACAAAATAACAAAATATTTCCAAACAAAATCAATAAGTCTCTTTAATTAAAAGTGTCGTCTCGGGAAAATTAGGACGAGTCACGAATTTCATTTCATTAATTCTTGTACAAATTACATTTTTTTATAATTTCCGACAATTCTAAACATGTAAATCTCGCAATTAAATAAAATACAAGCAAGGTTTTCCGTTTTGTGCCACTATAAATCTGTTCCATTTTAAAAGTAAATCCATATTTCTGTGCAAAATGAACGCTTTATTCAGAATACTAGCTTTAGTGTTACTCTTTGTGTGTTTTTCTTTGGCGCAAGAATATGTAAGAGAATAATTTTTGAACAATTTTTGTTAAATTATTGCTGCAGGTGACTCAGATTAAAACCTATGTGTCCGAAAGTGAGGATGTTGTAGGTGGTGGAATTATGCAAGAGGAACAAGAAAGCAAAAAATGGATTTATAAAATTGGAACACAAAAAAAATAAAAATTCTAAAAATGTAAAACTTAATAATTGGCTTCAATTCTACAAGAAAGTAGCAAACTGCAATTTTAGTTTAAGATTCTATTAATTACCCACAACTTCATTTTAAATACTAATTCTGGCGTCAATTATACAATAAAAAGAAAAATTTTTCCTTCCTAAAACCATAAATACAAGAACCGTTTAAGAAGTTCTAAATTTGCATAACACAATCCCTCCAACAATACAAAAGAGCTGGCGGTGATTCTTCCTAACAGAAGATTAATTCAAATCCTTTAAATCCAAAAACTTTACCTCAACAAAACTTTACCTCGAAAATCAACTCATGATTCGTACGTTGTAAAACCCGATTAACGTTTTTTCCTCCCAAGCATAAGAAAAAATGGTTCTTCCACGAAGCAATAAACACTTTTAGATTCTCCGGAACCGTTTTTTGTTTGCAACAATAATCAAGTGCACTCGCCCAGTAATTACTCCACCGCCCCCACAACTTGCTCCTCGTTATCTCACCGAAACCGCGAACTTCCCTTCGGGACGACGTTTTCTCGACACTATCGCGAAATAACATCACAAAATAGTTATTGTCATCAACGCTGTCTTTATGCAAAAATAGATTTATTGACGCAAAAATTGCACAACAAGACATCATTAACTAACTATAATTAACAAATGCAATTTGCTTTCAAGATCAAGGAGAATAAAAAATTATTAATTAGTTAGCAGTGTTGATTTTAGCAAAGCTAGTAAGCTTGTTAATTTTACTTAATAAAATTTGATTCACTACGTAAGGGTAGTTTATTTTCCTTAAATTAACACGGGATTACGCTCGGTAAATATTTTAAAACACGTGTTGATCAGGTGTTAAAATCCCTCAAATCCTACCAATCTTCGAAGGATTAAGCTTTAGTAGAAAAATATATATAGTCTTTGTAAAACTAATATTTTAAAAGCATTTCCTAAAAAAATGCATTTCCGTCGTAAATAAGTGACTCATTTTAGATTTTATTCACAGAAATATTTTATTTCTAAAAAATACTCGTAACCTCCATTATATTTCGAAAAAGACTCTTTTATTTTTCTTACGCAAGGTTTGATGACTCACCAATTCAATTAAAAGTTCATGAAAGAAAAAAAGCGTCTCCCTCATTTACAATTTAAACTCAATTCATTTCAAAAAATTACATGTATTGAAAATTAGACCAATTAAAAACTTTCTAGTCAATTTTAAGAAACATTAGAAAAAATCTTTCATCCTCTGATTCCCTTATTTGTATTTTGACAATTGTATAGAATAAAAGTTGGTTTAAATCGGGATTACACAAGCAATCCTTGTTCCCCATTCCGTCTGATTTCCTGCCAACCAAATCCAGAGATTAGTCGATTATCGGATTTGATTGACTTAGGAGATGTGGTAGAATAAGCCAATTTTTTTCACCAGATTGGCAAAATCCGAATTTTGTTTCACTTTCAACTCAAGGGATTGTTTTGATTCAATCATTTTTTAATTTCTCCCACCTACACGCCAGCAATGATTGATTAAAATTGGAGGATATGTCTCCAACACGAGACACTTAATTGGAAATATGATCTTAATTATCTCGTGAAAGAAAATGAAAAAGTTGATACCTTTCGGACCTCTTCCGGACTCAACTGAAAGGAATTGGCCAGTGGTGGTCCATCAACCCTATTTGCGGCTTCCTCTTCTTCTATCGCCTGTTGTAAAGCAACCATTAATCTATCTACCAATAACGCAGTTCTCTTCTTCGGAACAATCATCTAAAACACAGTATTTATTTAGTGTTTCTCGTCTTGAAACGACCTGACACCACTTTCTAATTAACCTTAATTTCCTTTTTGTTGCTTTATTAAAATTCTCGCGGAGTTATGTGGATAATGTTGTATGCTCGAAAATTGTTAATGTATTTCATAATTGGTCGAGACAGGAGCTTTTATGGCCAGTTCACACGTAATTAATTCGTAGACGAGTCCTATATTGACATTTTTGCATAATTACACCCCCGAAAGAACAAAAGTGTGTCCCGTGTTGGGCACAATAGGGGGTAAATGTATCCCCCAGCACGACTTATGTTTTGTCGATCTGCTTTTAACTGAATTGCACTAAAACGGTTTCATATTTAACTTACAAGGTTTTGCGTTAAAGCTCTTGTCAAATGCTTAGGAGGGGGCAAAATTATTTTTAGAGGGACACGACCTCGGAGATAACTGACCTCTTCGAAAGAGACCGGAACTAACGCAACCTTTGATCTCGATTTTGCAACAATTAATTAAATGCTGTTCGGGTTTTAATTGAGCGAAAGTCAATGGACGAGGCAATGTCGTCATTAATTAAAATTCCCGATTGTTAAGGAAAAAATCATAATTGGACGGAAAACTAAATTTTTTCTAATTTTTGATTTAAACTGTGAAACGGAAAAATATTCGAGTTTGTTAACATTTCAATCACCGTGATTAGGAGAAACTTAAGTCAATAAATTTTCCTTTGATGTCAAAAGGTCAAAAACTGAGGTGTGAAGTGAGTTAGGTGTTATCAACAGCGGGGTGTGTCTGGGGTAAATGGTTCAGAATGGGTCTTAAGTGAGTGGTAATTACCAATTACAAAATTCAGTTTAAACAAAGATAAATTTCAAACAAATTTGAAAACGTAAACAACTTAAAAAGTTTGCGAGTGATAAATGATTCTTTAAACTTCAAAAATACCATATTTCATCACCAACTAACTGATATCTGAAAATATTTTTTTTGTGGATAAAAGAACACTATTTACTTAGGACATTATCTAAAAAATTCAGTAAATAATTGATTCTCCTTACAGTGACCCGCTTCATTATTTATTCGAGATGATTAATTTTGATAAAAAGCACAATTATCTAGGTAATAATTGTGTTATTTCACTACTAAACCTGAAAGTTAATCAATTTTCGCCCAAACAAAACCTGTCAACTGATCTAAAGCTGATCATCACTTCACATTAATTAGATATTTCGAAAGTTCGGCTACAACTAAGAAGAAATTTTTCTATTTTTCTGCTCAATACTTTTGAAAGCTTTATTAGTTTACAAAGTTCCGTTGTAAACACCAGTTAAGAAGCTTTTATGTATCTTAAATCTTTTTAATTTTAAATATCTTTAGACTAAATATCCCGGCGCATCCACCAATTTCATCTAGTCGAATTTTTCCAAATTGAGATTATAATGACTTTTCAATGCAATTTTAAATAGCAATCCTAGTGAGGATATTGCTCGTTCAAAAACCTTAATTGATCTTAAGCGACCACCAAAGTATATTTAATGGGGGCTTAAAAAACGCTTTATGTGTTGAAGTGGTAGTTAAATTTAATGCCCAAATAAGGCTTTTTCGTGGATTAAGCAAAGGCAACGCAACAGGTGCATGACTGCACGACTCGACTTTAATTAGACCAAAAAAATTGGGTCAGGGACAAAGTGTGCAAGAAATTAGTTTCTCTTACCGGATATTCGTCATATTTGACGCCTAGTTGATAATCCGGGTAATCGTCGGAGTTTCTTTCAGATGCTGCACTGCGTCTGTCAATCAGAAATCCATCAGTTTTCATTTCGAATAGAACGGCCACAAGAAAAGACTCCAAAACGACCATCAATATTAAATTCATATCGGCGTGAACGATGGACTTTATCAATCACCGGAAACGCTTTAAAACATTATATTCCGTCTTGTCTGAAAGCTTGTAATGCGTTTATGCAAAGTGATTGGGATTTAATTTTTTTGAAGATGGCGCGTGTTGAAAAATGTGCGAGAGTGTAAGGGAGTTACGTTCTTGTTTGGGGTGGTAATACGATTGTATACTGTACGGAGTTGAGAGCCACCATTGCTTTTAAACCCCCTCTATCTAATACGCAATCGCATTCACGGCAAATAATGCTGTTTTGTGTCGTTTATGTTTCGGAAAGTTACACTCTTTGGTTTTTAACGTACTAAGTGACGAATATTTTCAAGGATTTTACAAAATTTTAAATTAATAATTATGTCAAAAAAATATTAAAGCACAATTTTAGTGCGCAAAAGGTCACTTACCCGTTTAGTTTACCGATGGTCTCTCTAATTAAACACTCACTAAACTTTCTGACAAATGAGAGGTCGTGAGAGTTATGAAATTTTGTAATTAATTATGTACCGGTTCATCACTCTAAATCTTTGTCATTTGAAAAATAAATTTAATAGTTTTTTATTATACATAAAAGGCGATAATAAACAATCTTTATCGTCGTGTATAATACAACATTTTTTTCTATAGCAAAAGTTCAAGTTTAAGAGAGAAAAAAAATGCAATTTTTTGCACAAAAATAGCAATTGTGTTGCTTCGCTACCATGGGTTACAAAACATTTTTTCACTACTAGCTGTAAAAGATACCATTATTTAGTTTATCGAGAGATTGTAAAGTTGTTTACCATCACAAATACTAATGGAAGTATTTCGAGATAAAAATAATGCAAAATCAAATAAAAAAACTTAAATTTTCTCATTAAAAACATCAGAATAACCGCAACTCTAATGCTTCTGTCTATGTCAAAACTGTCAAATCAACAAATGGGTTTATTTTTTGTTAAAATACTATCGGTAGTAAAGCAAATTTTAACACTTTTTCCCTTTTTTTGCAGATTCTTTGTTATTTTAACAAATATTTTATATTATGAAGTTAGAAAATTCCTTTGATAATTGCAGAAGTACAAAAATGGCATAACCTCATTTAAGATAAGAAGAACTTATATTAATAACTCAGGTAAATAATTAATTACTGTAAGTAATAGTGAATTAACAAAAATAGTAGTTGTAAATTACGACATGTTACGTCTGAAGGGTTTATTTTTCGCCGTTGTATTTCTGGGTAATAAATGTGCTAATAGTGAAAAAAATGTTATATAAAACACGATAGAGAAAATTTTTAAAGCCTCGCATTTACTATTTCCCTCGATGGTACGCATCGCTATAAAAAATGTCTCCTTTTCCTTCTGGAATAATATACTATTATTTCTTTAAGCATAGATTCTGAACCTTAGTATCTTAAAAAACTAAGTGCCCACTTAAAAAAATATTTCATTTCTTTATTATTTATGTATCTACCATTGTTTAAATTTTAAAGAAGTAACGATAATACTTTATTGATACAATGTGTCCAAAACTTTGCAACCAATTTATTTCAAAAATTGAAATAAATATTTTGAAAAAAAATAACAAATGAGGTCTTTAATAATGTTTTTTTTTTTATTTAGTTAACTGTTTATTAATGTTTTTTTAATAAAAAGCTTCAAAGTATTTTCGTTTTTTAAAAACTAACTTCTAGACAAAAGTGTTGGACCAAGTCTGGACTTTTTTTGAAAAAAAAACAAAACAATTTCCATATTTTCATGTAGACAGCTTTGCTCTTTTGTTTGCGATGTTTGTATCCGATGTTATATCAAGTAAACAAAAAGTATGTAACTAAGCATTTTTTGTATAAACTAATAACTTTTCGAAAAAAATAGTCAGCGCAGTTTTAAAGTACTATCGCTTTTCATAGTTAAATATAAAGACATTAAAAAAATCTGTGCAAAATTATGTTTTAATTAAAAATAAATAATTTCTATGATTATATTTAAAGTGGTTATAACTAATCGAATTTGCGTCCACATCAAAAAGCTTCGCTCAATTCTAGAGAAAAAAATGTTCGTAATAATAAAGATTTAAAGAACAAAATCATGTCAGATATCTGTCAAATCTACAAAATTATTTTTTCCTTGAATAAACTAAAATTAAACATTCTCGTTCATACAATTTTTACAACACTCTGATTGATATACATATGTACGTTTTTTTTTATAAATACCCTGTATTAATATGGGAACGTAACAGTGCTCTCTAGTCATCAAAACCGTAATCAAATAGTCACTATTACAAAAAAAAACAAAAAAATATAGTTTCTTTTATTAAATAAATGTTTTTGGTAGAAAATAAAAAACATAAACTCTATGAAGTATGAAAACCGATAATGATTTCAAACTTACCTTCTTCTTTCAAAAATATAAACCCAATTCTAACTGTAATTCTAAACTAAGGTAAGTAACCAATTCAAAAAATTCAAAATCAGGAGATTAATAAAAATAATTATAATAAATTTATTCCAGAACACAAAAAGTGGGTATTTTAATGTTTCTGTATAAAAACTTAAATGTAGTAAGAATATACAGGGTGCGCCAGAACTCGCGCACCAGAGAAAAATGTCATATAAGGTAAGATACCAGTAACATGGAAAAAATTAAAAAAAAAATTATCTATAAAAATTTCGGAGTTATAAGGGTTTAAATTTTGCACTTTGACTTTATTTATTTCTGTTGCAAAAATAATTTTCCATTTTTTTTGCTACAGACTATTCGAAGAGAAAACAAGGAAGCTGTATCTTAAATTGTAACTCTGTTCAATGTCATTTGTGGATTTTATTGACAAAATTTTTGTACCGTTACTAAATAATTGTAAAAAAACATATACAAGATCATCAGTATCATTAAATAAACATAAAAAATTGTCAAATGTTAAAAAATAAATGTCAAAATTTTTGGACAGAGAATTTTTTAAACATTTTTTCATGTTCCTGGTATCTTATATTACTTGAAATTTTTCTCTGGTGCGCGAGTTCTAGCGCACTGTATATAGAATGCATAAAAAACAAAAAACAAGTTTGGGGCTGTAATCTAATAATTAACATACTATTTTATTGTTTTGTGTTAATTTCAATTTTTTGTATGAGTTGCTTTGAGAGCTCTTTTATTTTCTGCAAACATTAAAAAAAATCTATTCAAGCAAAATTAATAGTTAATTTGGTCATTATAAGCGATTTTTAAGTAGGTATTTCTAGTTTCAGTTAAGTTTTTTCACAATGACTACATTTGAAATGACAAAAAAAAACTTTAACTTGAAAGATACTTTATTTTCGCTGGAAATAAAAATCTCAAAAAATTGCACACTTAGTCCTTAAATCGGGACAAATTAGGACATAAATGTACCTAAAACGAAACAAGACAATAAAAATCTAAACATGCCCTGCCTAAATCAGGACGGTTGGTCCCCTTAATCTATACAATAAAATGATATAAACTAAAATGAAACTTTTAACTTGAAATTAATTATTACAACTGACAACCGTGTTACACAAAAAAATTTATATTCATAACAACATTATTCAGTTATGAAAACTGAAAATGAAAAAGCTGCAAACTTTCCGTCTACAAACCTGATTTGGAAAGTTTTATCTTACATTGGACTTACAAAAAAATCATATGTCTACAAACTTAAACTTTCCAAAAAATTTTAGTGGAAATGAAATCGATTAAAAATGAATTACATTGTAAAAAATAGAGTGTAAAATTTATTTTATTGTAACATTTATTTTCATATTTCAATTCTGCAGCTAAAAGATAATGACAATGTAATAGTATACTCCAGTCTCAGAGTCTAGTTATAAAATTCATAAATTTAAAATGGAACAAACATATCAAAGCATTTATAAAATTAGTTTCATGCATACGAAACGTTCCTCACACAACAAATTAATTAACTCGCTTAAACTCCTCACACAAAACTTATTTGAACTTGAAACTGTAACTGAACATTCGCTTTGGATTTACTCAAAATGCAATTGTAATGTCTAACAAAATGGAAAAAAGAAGCCAAATAAGAATTTGCATTGCATTTTACTGGGTTAAAGCGAATAAAGAAACGCATTTTCCGAGTGTAAGTGTCTGGTTCAAATTAATTGATCGAAACGATTTCCACTAGAAGTTTCAACATCCAAGAAATGTGATAATGAATTAGACACGCAAATAATGATGTCGCGGCAGAGAAGTTGATAAAGTGACAAAACAGGTGTGCAGACAAGAAGTTGACTACGGAGTAGATTAAAAATGTTGAAATGTTGAACACATTTTGAGGTTTTTGCAAAAAACTATTTTCATTTTTCTTAATTAAATGTCTCCTTTATAAAATTTATATGTGACATTTTTGTTAAAAACTGCTTTCATCCACGTTAACTGAAATCCCACTATCATTGTGGCTTAATTGCGCACTTATACAATCTCTAGAACAAAATTAATTTCAATAGAATTGCAACTTTTTGCAAAAAAAAAATAAACTAAAGTACTGGAAAAAATTGTGTTATTGTGTAATCTTGACGTCATGGAAATCAGCAATCACATAGTCCTGGCTTGGACCAAAATCCTGGCCTTAACACCCAATGAGCTTACAGCTTTGTTATCTCAATTTCAGACGGCTTAACCCTATCATAAACCCACGTTTTGCATGCTTAAATTTTATTATTTTCGCCCTAATTATTTTTTATCACAATTTAATTATTCCTAACCCAAACTATCGAAACGTGCAAAGAGAGACGTCATAGTTGGCATTCGCTTCCTTTGATCAATCATTCTTTGTGATGTTATCTTAAGCAAAGCGTGAATTCATCAAATCATAATTAAACTCTCTACCGGGCGTCTAGCGCAAACAATCTTTCAGTTTGTGGATTTTTCCTTAAATAATGCATATTGTACAGGGATTAGACTCAAGAGGGATGATTTTTCGTAGAAGGTTTGGACTGGTGATGAGCGTTAACAATTCCCTTCTGCGAACCGTCCTATGCGTGGGCGTATTATAATTGTGCAGAATCGTGACGACAGACCTTTTAAATGTATCCAAAACGTCCCACGAAATATTACACTTAAGAATCATTCACTCGAGGGTGAAAATGGACCCATTGCAATTAGCAAATATTCAAAAAAATCAACATTTAGTTGTAATTGAAACGTAAATTTTACGCCTGCTCCAATCCGGAGAAATTATAAAGACGCATTTAAATATTTTTTTCGACTAAAAGACGAGATAAATCCCGCGCAAATTGCTATAATTCTTATCAGGGCACATCAAGGGTCTCTGACTTCAGCACAATTTGTAATTCAAGAGTCAGGGATTTTGGGGTGGCGAGAAATGGTGGAGTAGGGGGCAATAACACTTGAGGTAAATATCAATAATTTTTTATTTTCCAATTTATAAATAATTACAATTTATTAATTACAAATAATTAATAAATACAATTGAAATGCAAAAATCATCGAAATACGAACAAAAAGGAATGTGAAATGATCGAAAATGTCCTTAAAAAAACAATTTTTAGACACCCAAAGATACCTCAAAAATATATACCACGTGAGTCAAGTTTTATCTCTCACAATCACTTTTTAGAATTAGAATTAAATTAAGATTATAAAATGTTTATATTATACCAAAAAAACTCATTGCTTGTTTTTTACATCAAAACAATCAGACTACAATGGCCATAATTCACGAAGATGAAGTTCATAACACGAGCGTAACACGAGTTTTATAATCAACTGAATAAATAATAACCATTATCTGCCAGTAGATTACTATACTTGGTCTACGACTATTAAATATTTTTGATTTTTGACTCCATTTTTGGTATTAAAAAAGTTGACGTGTCAATTTAATTAGTATAAATGAGATATTGCATTCAAGTTTATATATAAAAAAGCAATGATTAATAATTAAACTTTGCGTGATTTATTAATCAATACAGTTGAAATAACGCTGTTGAAATAATATACTAATGAGTATATTAGAAAGAAATTGTTTTTTTTTATTGTTTTTATATTATTTATCAAAAATTTCACCCCGTATAAGCTTAGCTAAAATTAGACACAAAAAAAAATGGTAAAAAGTACAAAAAAGTCTCACAAACTTAAAAAATTCCTTATTTTTCGATACCCCAGAATTAATTTTTTGTATGGATATCCTAATTGAGCACATCCAAAAACTATTAAACACAACTAAAAAAAATAAAGATGCTATACAAATCTAGCGTTTTTACATCTCAAAATGACAAATATTTCTTTTTAAGCCCGAAAAAATACAAAAATATCTCAAAATGCCCTAAAATGTACTCATTTTTATACCTACACCAACCAAATTTTGGCACACAATAAATGACTAAAAAAGCCTAAAAACCAAAAATTTGCTTTGTTTTTAGGTTCGTCCAATGCTCTAGTCCAGAATCAACATGATATATCTACTTACGATGAATATAAAGTATGGAACCAAGCGGTTTTATTTTGAATCATTTGCCTCCAGAAAATATTAATTAATATAAATTAAAGTAATATAAAAAATGTGATCGTATTTTCAGAACGAGATTTTGTTTTGTTTTTGAGTTATTGCAATTTATGTGAAAATTTTTTTTTTGAAAAAATTAAATACAAAGCAGATAGTTGTAATCCTTAGAGTATAGCTTTTATGAGAAAAATGATTTTATAGTGAGTTGCCATTTAAAAAAATATTTTTTTTGTAGAACTCAAAAACAAAAGGAAATTTCGAAAAATTTTATTCTTGTTAAATCATCACATTTTTATAGTACTTTATCACTCATTAATTAGTTTTTTCAAAAAATAAATAGTTTAAGCACAAAACGTTTGGTTCCATACTTTTTATTCACCTGGTATATTAAATAAATTTACTTATAAAAATTAAAACATAAATACCATATTTACGAATTTCTCCATAAAAAAGAATATAAAAAATACTGCAGGGTAACTTTGTGCAATTGAGTCCAATTTACCCGACTATGCAGTAAATTATTCAAGAATTTATCAAAAGTAAAAAATTGTATCCAGCAAAGCCGAAACACAGAAAAAAGAATAAAATTTGTAAATACATATTTTTTGGTAAATGTAACTTATCTTTTTATCTTTACTGTCACCGATTTTTTACGATTGAAAATCATAACGTAAGAGCTGAAAGTTGTCATTTTTTAATGAGACTTTAAAAGTGCAGAAATCTACCGTTCTTGATGGAAAGGATTTAGAAAAAGCTACAGAAAGGTGCGCACAATTACCCACTGCGTACAATAACCCCGTTTTCCCCTATAATAGATAGGCAACCAACTTTACACCAGCCTTCAATAATGTTATGAAAAAAATAACGTAAAATACATACAACCATGTAATATTTGGAACTAAAGTAGAAACACTCAACGCTTTTTAAAATTCAAAACATAATCTTTAAATTTCCCCCATGTCTACACTTTTTTATATTTTATTTTCTAGTTTTAAACATTTGTTAATTCTGAAATTTTGAGTGCATTTAACATTTATTACACTATCGTGCACCATTTGAATTCCCGTTTTATTGTTACAAATATCAACTAATCGATTCGTTGCATTATAAATTTGGAGACAATTGTTTTTGAAGCGGACCGCAGACAAAACAAATGTCGACATCAAAGCCTCTCTCTTTACAATCAAAACCAAGACAAAGATCCCATCTTTATATACCTCTTTCCCAACTTGAAACAATAAAAAATCTTTGCAGGTTCAGCACCACAAGAAAAAAAAAATACTAAAGAACTAAAGTAAAATGTCATGTCACCCAGCTGGTGGGTTTTGCAATAATAAAAGACGATTATTTTTATTACCATGTATGTCATTAATTGAATTTTATAACTTTCGACCCACACGCTCAACAATATCTCGTATCAAGCATAATTATCTCAAATTTTTATTTCTTTTAAATTAATAACAAACATAACCTTACTTTTATTTGTCAACTAAAATCAATTTTAGATTAAATAATGTCCAGTCCGGGGACTGTAATCGAAGATGCAGTGGAGGCAGCAAAAAAGGCCGTTCAATTCGACCAAGAGGGCAAAATTGAAGCATCAATTTATTACTATGAAGCTGCCTCAGCGCTCCTTGAACGCGCCACGACTCTCGTTAAAGAAGACAAAGCAAAATCATTCAAAATCAAGTCAAATGAGTATAAAAACCGAGCATTAGAACTCCAAAATTCACAAAATAAAGAAAGCAAAATTATTAAAGGAGATGTTAACAAGCAACAGCTGCAAAAAGGCTATTTCCTCCTCCAGGAAGCTATAGAAGAGGATGAGTCGGGGGATAAAGACGACGCTATCGAACTCTACGCTAAAGCAATTGAATTTATTACTCAAAACCCCGATTTGATGCAAGGCGAGCTCAAACAACTAGCCCTCCAAGCCCTAGAACGCGCCGAAGCCCTCAAGGGTATACAAACCAATAACGGGGGCAATCTAATCAACACCATTTTCAGGAATTAAACACGAACCAATGGTCGGAAAAACCGCCCCTGTGAGGGCCAAACCCAACCTCCATCGTGGTTCCAGTGCCCACTTGCAAGTCGCCGGTGACGATTCGTACACCCCCGAGGAAAAAGCCGTCTTGTGCCACACTTCCAACATCAACAACCGCGAATATGTCCCATTTATGACCGTCGACCTAACCGAAAAATTCCAATACTCAATTCCCTTCACCGACAAAGACGGCTTCCTAGCCTTGTCACCGAAACAAAAACGGGAGTTTTCAAGCTGGGTGCGCCCCCTGGATTTGTGTTCCGACCCCTGTATCGTCGACGGTTCAGCCCCCAATTACTTGAACATCAAACAAACGGTCATTTCCGACTGTTCGTTTGTTGCAAGTCTTGCTGTTAGCGCTCTGTATGAGAAGAAATTCGGCCGCAAGTTGGTCACGGCGATTATATACCCCCAAGGGCGGGACAAACAACCCCGGTATAACCCCTTTGGCAAGTACATGATCAAGTTACACGTCAATGGGGTTGCCAGAAAGGTCATAATCGATGACTATTTGCCCATCAATCGCTACGGACACCTACTGTGCTCCTATTCGAGCAATAAACGGGAATTTTGGATTTCTCTCCTCGAAAAGGCTTACATGAAAGTGATGGGGGGGTACGACTTCCCTGGAAGCAACAGCGTAAGTCCCAAAATTAACTCCTTTGATCAGAAATTATAATATTTTAATATATAATATATCAGAAAATAATATTTGACCACATTGCTAGTTTAGTAACAGTTCTAAAGTTCGATTTTTAGAACATCGACTTGCACGCCCTCACTGGGTGGATCCCCGAACGCACAACGATCCGTAAATCAGACCCGGACTTCAACAAGGACGCCCTTTTTTCAACCCTTGAGTCGCGTCTGGCCAAAGGGGATGTTCTAGTGACTGTGGCAACTGGGGAATTATCAGACGCCGAGGCGGAACGCAGTGGTCTAGTCCCGACCCATGCTTATGCCCTTATGGACGCCCGGACTGTCGATGGGGTACATGCAGTACTACCAATAGAAAATCAAAATTACAATGTTTTACAGGTGCGTCTTCTCAAGTTGAAAAATCCGTGGTCGCACTTGAGATGGCGTGGCCGCTACTCCGAATTGGATGTGAAAAGATGGACCCCGGAACTACAAAAGGAGCTCCACTACGACCCCAGTGGGGCTGCGCAGTTTGATAATGGGGTTTTTTGGATCGATTATGAGAGTCTTTGTGCGTTTTTTGATGTTTTTTACATGAATTGGAATCCGGAGTTATTCAAATATACGTTTTGTATACACCAGTAGGGTTTTTGGTTTTTTTCGAGGTTGAGGATTAAAATTGGGTTGTAGGTCGTGGAATGCGGGCACTGGACCTGTCAAAGACCTCTACACGATAGGCTCCAATCCGCAGTTTTCCCTAGACGTGGGGGCCAGTAGTTCGGGGGCTGTTTGGCTGCTCCTAACCCGACATATCACCGATATTGACGATTTCAGGGAAAATCAAGAATATATCACAGTCCTGGTGTATAAAAACAACGGAAAACGGGTATATTACCCATGTATGGGACTCAATAATGTGTATTATCATGTTATTTGTGGTTGATTCTAGACGAACCGCCCCCCTACATCGACGGTGTTAAAATCAACAGCCCCCATTATTTGTGTAAAATCATACTAGGCCCCGGGAGTAGCACTAAATACACCATTGTTATATCACAGTACGAGAAAACTTCGACCATTTATTACACTTTAAGGGCTTACGCGACATGTCCTTTCACTTTACGGAAAATTTCGGATCCTTATAGATACGAAAAAGAGGTAAATTGCGTCAATTTCACTCTTTAATGTAATAAAATGAAAATTGTGATAATAGATAACCGGCGAATGGCGGGGTATCACAGCCGGCGGTTGCCCCAACCACCCTCTCACCTTCAAAAACAACCCTAAATTCCGTTTGGAAATTGAGGGTTCCAATAATAAAATTTTCATTGAGTTGAAGGGCCCCAAACAGTATCAAATCGGTATTGAAGTTGTGATTTTGAAGGTCAGTGACGATTCTCTCACTGCACCGTTTCGGTCAAAGTCGTCGGGGGCTTACAGGTAAGGAATTTCATATACAATGAAACACACAATACTAATTTTTCACAGGTCGGGTTATGTGATACTAGAATTAGAAGACATACCTGCAGGAGTCCTCCAAATTGTTCCGTCCACATTTCTACCATCGCAGGAAGGCCCCTTTTTCCTTCTTGTGAAATCGTCAGCACCAATTCAGCTCACGAGAATTTAAGTCTTTATAGTTACACTGTGATTTATGCAAATGCCTTTTTATTTTTGTTTACATTTTATATTATGTTGATAATTGATAAGTATTATACTATTTATAAAGTTAATAAAAAGTTTTGGCGAAAGAAGTAAATTTTTTAAAATGGTTGCTGGTGACAGGGCTGCCAATGCATGTTTAGTGATTTCCAAAATAATTAATTGACTATAATAAGTAATTGACTATAATCAAATGTTAGACAATTTTTGCCGTTATATTTGTGGCGCTTCGTTATAATATTATTGATAGAATACCAAATATTTACGAAATATAATTGAATTAAACTTAACAGTCGTACCACCCCCGACACAAATTCACTATAAATGATAATGCAGTAATTTGTAAAACCCAAACTCCTAACCTCAAAATCCAAACAACCCTTCAATGCAAATAATTAAAAATGGTTGATTTAAAAAAAGACTTGGACGAGTATCTGCTACTACAGAGTGACCAAAAGAAGTCGTTCAAACTCCCGACGTTACAAAAACCCAACATTTCAAACTGGTTTAAACGGGAGGAGCAACCTGAAGACAATTCCTGGTTTCAGGAGACGAAAAAGGGGTGTTGCCCCGCTCTGGTAACTACTTTCACCCCCCAACACATTTAATGACCCGAATTAATTTCAGTCACGATTTCAACGGATTACCCTATTTGTGATATGTCTAGGAATGGGTATTTTGTGCTTCACTTTATCACTGATGTATATCCCAGTTTTGTTGTTTAAGGCCCGGAAATTCGCCCTCTTGTTCACACTAGGCAGCCTATTCTTCATATTCAGGTATTGTCAGCTTTTAATTGATTTTTTTGACGCAAAATTTCAGCTTCTTTTTCCTCTGGGGCCCTCTGGCATACTTAAAACACATGTTTTCACGTGAAAGGCTGCTCCTAACCATAACGTACGGAAGCACGTTAGTTGCAACGCTGTATTGCGCCCTGCATTTACAAAGCACCCCGTTCACTGTACTCTGTGCAGTGGGGCAAATTGTTACTTTATTATGGACTGTGATAGCTAATATTCCTGGAGGGACTAGCGGAGTGTCTTTCTTCTCCAAAATGTTCTCCAGGTCGGTGAGCAGCACGCTACCAATTTAGTATTAATTCGAATTTTATTTTGTACAAAGATTTATTAAACTAAGATTGATTTAATAAATTTATTGAAAAAAACCTAAGGAAATAGATCAATCTAAGTTGCATAAAATTCTATCTATTTCATCATTAAAAATATCATCCAAACTGTCTGTTTCACTATCACTTTTCGTATCCTTGAAATAAGTGGTAATATCCAAAGTGTTGGCACTTGTACGATTAGAACTTATATTTAAATTTTCCTTATGTGATTCAGTTTCTTGTTTCGTGACTGAAACATTCTCAAATGAGTCGCGTGAAAGTCCAACTTCCTCCAGAATTTTCTGCTTATTTTGCAACATTGGCCAAATTGAATCGTCCGCTGTCCCTGGGGCCAGCAAATACTTTATTATCACGGGATTTTGCTGCCCTATGCGGTGGGCCCGACTTTCGGCTTGGCTTAAAATCTGTTAAAAATTACTCTAACTTACTTTGCAAACGCAAAACTTACACTAGGGTTCCAATGTAACTCCGCAAATAGCACTAATTGGGCTGCTGTCAACGTAATTCCAGCATTAGCAGCAGTGATTGACAACACAGCAACCAAAAACTCGTCATTTAATTGAAACTTATCGACAAAATATTTCCTTTGTTCCGAAGTCGTGCCCCCATCGATTCTAATATATTTAACATTTTTTTTGTCAAGGACATTACAAACTGCATTTAGCATAATTTGGTGGTGGGCAAAAACCAGAAATTTTTGTTTACTCTTCAAAACTTGCAAAATATACGAACTGAAAAAAACAAGTTTAGTGACCATCACAAATTCAAGCCAGGCCACTTACCACACTGATGGTATTTTAATTTTCGCAGTTTCAGAAAAAAAAGTTAGTAAAATTGCGTGTTTCTCTGCACTTTTCTTCTGATTGGCGTATTTAGCAGCCAAGGCATTTAAACACTCCTTGTCTTCGGTACTAAATTCGTTCAAATTCACATCCAGAGTGACCACTTCTTGCGATTTGCATGGTAACGCCTTCAAGACCTCGTCTTTGGTCCGCCTGATCATAAATTTGCGGTTTAAAACGATTTCCAACTCCTTCAAGGGTGAAAATAGCATTATTAAAAATAACAAAGGCCAAACCCACTTGTAAATTGGATTTTCCTGATGCGTCCCAGCCGAAATTCGTCGATCTACCATCACAGTACCGCTTGCTGTAATCGAAAAAACTACCGAAGAATTTATCATCGATTAGTGATAACTGGGAGAAGAGTTCGCTGGGGCGTGACAATGCAGGTGTGCCACTCAAGAGGATGACCCGCAGGGCTTTTTTGGCCAAAGCAGTGGCCGCTTTTGTGCACTTCGCTTTGAAGTTTTTTAAATTGTGTGATTCGTCAATGATCAACACTCCAAATTGTTTTTTCAGTAGATTATCGACGTAACGTGACATCATGTCGTGGCTTACGATTAAGACTCGACTATCCCCGATGTAGTCTTTCCCCGTGGTCATGTACTGAATGTGGAAAATTGAGACACTTGGAAGGTAACGCATGATGGTTTCCTCCCAGACGTTCCTAAAATTGGTTAAATTATTCCCGCTTTAGGTAATTAAACAATTTACTTCATGGAACTGGTCGTTACGATGAGCAAAGGCCAGTCGTCCTTGTAATAATGGGCAATGCCTAAAGCCTGGAATGTTTTACCCAAACCCATGTCATCTGCAATTAAACACCTCCCATTTTTATCAATACCGAAACTACAAATTAATAGTTACGCAAAGTTTGGGTTTGAGACAACTTTACCGGACTCCTTCTTGTTGAAACGGCATTAAAGCGCCCCCCAGTTCGGGGTCAATGTTACTCAAATCAATATTCGAATAATCGTTTTTTTCTCCATTTACGCAATTGAGGACAAACGTCGGTAGTTTCTCCACGAGAACATTGGGCCGTAATCCTTGCAGTTTCGTAATTAACGCGTCATGATCTTTGACGTGAAAATCCCAGTTTCTTGTTTTAACATCTGGAATAATTATTTTAGAAGATTGTTTAATTGCAATTGCAACTTACTGTAATTTCGTGTTGGTATAGTCTTGAAAATCTCAATGGCTGGTGTGCTGAATCCGGAAAGTTCCACCACAAATCTGTCTTCTGCTATCAAACTACATTTCCCTGTTATCACTTTATCTTTGCCGTAAAATGGTAAAGTCGCTTTGGGCTTGTCGTAAGGTTTTACGTTGTGTTTCGATGACTGACTTGGGTCCTTGAAACGGAACGGGGAAGTCTGTGGGGCTGCGATTTTTGCGTTACTTTCATTTTTGAGGTTAGAGTTTTGGGGACTGAGCAGCCGCTTCTTAGCCCGTTTCTCCAAAGCGAGGAGTCTTTTACGTTCGATTTCTTCCGGTGTGCATTCCATTTTGTTTGAAACAGTAACACATTTATAATAAATAAATAATAAATTTAAATCAAAAAAGCCCCTCTACAGCTCAACTTTTGACAGATGACAGTAATGTGTAAAAAAAAGGAAAAATCACTAGTCTGTTTTTTTTTTAACGAAAATCACTAGTAAGTCAAAATTTTGGTGAAAAAAAAACAGTTATACAACCACATAATATTTTATTTTTGACCCTAGACATTTTCTTAAAAAAATTTTTTTTTAAATTAAATCAAAAACCGGAATAGCCAACTTCTTTTACTAAAAGTACCTGAAATTAATTTGCTAGTGGTGCCAACGGCTGTTTAACATTTCTGTTAAAAAAAAACTCAATCTGATATCTGGTGAAAAACCAAATATCAAGTGAAAAATAAACTACATATTTGAATAAACCATCGTTTAAAGGAATAAAATATATACGTTGAGGTTTATTTGATATTATTATAATTCAGAACAATGTTCCCTGTCTATCAAAGTGGCTATGATCAAAACAAACAAAATCCCATACAAAATTTTTATTTAGTTTTGTAACTAAATCAAATAAGTCGTTTACATAAAATAAACATTAATCCCACGTATCACTCTCGACAAACGTTTTGGCCTCTTTTCTGAGGCATTTTTTGGGTGTTGCGTCATTTTCCGCTTCCACATCTTCCAAAATGGGCGAACACTTCATGTTTCCGCTGCAAATTCTCAATTAGAAACAAATCAAGCCCTTGAAATACTATTTACTGCGACGTTTTGTCGGTTTTTATTTTTTTATTGCACTTGGATTGAAATTCCATGCTTCTTTTACGACGATTAGAGGGCGCTGGTGATGACAGTGGTGTCTTAAGACCACTCATCTGCGACTGTCTCTTAACAAACGGCATAATGCTGTAAGTGTCACTTTGAGACAAGGTACTTAAAGCAACAGCCGCTTGATCCCTTTTATGAAGCCCCACGTAAGCTGAAGTTTCGTTAATCCAAGCGACATAAACGCCACCTGCAGCAAACATAAGAATTATTGTCTTTTAAAGAGTCAAGACGCACCAAATGGGCTAAATAGCTCGATTATGTTACTCTGTTTCCACTCTTTGGGGAATGTGAGGTAAAAAACGTGGTCTCGTGAAGGGTTTGCTGAAAATGTCTGTTAAAAAATTGAATAACCAAAAGAAAACTTACGATCCTCGCCTTCCAAATTAATGTACTGACTGTCCCTCAACATCATCAAATATAATCTAAAAAAATTAAAAATCAGTCCATTAATGGATTGAAAAAAATAATTTACTTGTTTAAATAAGGTTTCAGTAACGTAAAATCTTTGAAAGTCTCTTCAAATGATAATTTTTTTAACGTTCCTAAATAATTCCACATGGAAAGGAAACATAATCCAGTTATATAAGCATCATATCCTGCCTCATGCTCTTTTAAATCATCCACGCAATAGCCTTGACCCTCATCTTCAACTTCTGTAATTGATATTTGAAATCACAATTTAAAAAAAAAAATCAATGTACCAACTGGTGGTATCACAAACGGGGCTTTTGAAACCGTTTCCAAAACGCTTTTTAAAACAGTCGATTGAATCAAATCTTTAAACTCATCAGAACTTGACATAAATTTAGTATCTAAAACGCTAAAAACTTGCATAAAATCACAAAATAACGAATATTGAGCCCACTTACTTTTTAAATAGTGAATGGGCGCAGTCTTTAAATTCCTCATAATTGACCGAGAGTGGCGTTAAAAATTTATCAATTGTGTGTAAAAAATCTAAACACATGTTATGTCCAACAATTAATTTTCCCTAGAAAAAAAAAAGTAGTGCAAAAACACGTTACGTTAAAGCTTACAGATTCAACAACGATTCGTAAAACTTTCGTAAATCCGATAAAATCATGTAAATTTGTCATTTCCTCCTCGAAGAGACGCTTCTCAATCTCCTGTTGGTCCTCCTTACTTTTGCATTTTGACGCTACTAAAATTCTATCTTTATTTTTATTTTGTTTCGTTTGTAAGACAATTTTATTTGTGAATTTTTGGGCGGTAGTTTGATAAACTAATCTTCTGATAAAAGCATTGCATTTGGGCAATTCCAATTCATTCTCATCACTGTCCAAAAAATCACTCAAATGTTTCCTGTAAAAACACATTCATATTTTTTTCATTTCTAATAAAATACCGACATAAAATCGTCAATTACTGGTTGTGCATCTTCAGGAATTGGTACAATATCTTGATTATGTTGTGGCGTATTTTGGTTATTTCTAAACTTTTTCCTTTCTTCTAATTTGTCTCTATAACCACTTTCTTCAGATATGTTCAAGTAGGAGATCCCAAATTTGAATAGTTTATTAAAATCAAAGCCCTGAGTCGTCAGAAAATTGATACTAGAAGTCTGGCATAAAAATCTCTGATCGGGAATATTGTTATTTATGGGTCTTCTAAATATATAAAAATTGTAACTCTGCTGCTTGAATTTCTTATCCGCGGGATCAAACCTGCAACAAACACGATCACGAAAGCCCCTTTCACACCCCCACACCCACCGAAAGGCACTAATCCCATACTGAAGCACTAAAAACTCCTTACAATTTTTGCGCACTTTTTCATAATACTGCTTGGGCGTATCGAAGGCGTTTATTTCGGAAACAACATTCAAGCCGGAGAATTCACAATCAATAGCCAGAAAAGTCGATCTGTTGATTACTTTCTCAATTTCTGGTAGCAATTCTTTGAAATCTGAAACGTTGTTTACTCACATTTAACCTCACTTAGCCGCTAGTGGAAAACTCACTTGAACTTGTTACTTCCATGGTAGATATCTAAACGGGACTTGCAAAATATGATTCTGATGCATGGAAAGGGCGTAAAAATGGAAAATTTCGAAAATTCGCATGAATTGCATTTGATGCCGTAAACATGCACCTTTCACCCCAAAAACGGTAATTTGTGTCGCCAACCCCGCAAAACGAAATCCCCAAAGGAAAATTTTCGCAAAAAAACATTATCCTATTTTTGTTACTATTCCAAGTATAATATTTTGTTAATTAATTAATTATAACAACTAGGTGTTGCGTGTTTAATAAATAATAAAAACTAAATAATGTTAACATTTGTTTAGTTGGTTGCCTACTTTAACTTTAAGATATTAAAACTGAATAAAACGCGCACAAGTTATTTCCACTCCTATGTAATTAAATTTCAAGTAATTAGATAAGCCTTAACAATGCATTGTAACAGTAATAATTATAATTCAAAAATGTGAGTCATTCCACACGCTTATGGCTTTTTTAACACAATTAAATAAACAGTTACAAAACCACAAAACTATCGTTTTCCCCGCATTATTGTTTTATTTTGACATTTCGCCTCATGATTTGACTCTATTTTGTCAAAAAATTAAATCCCCGTACGTCTAAAATAACCGCTGAGTGCCTTATACGCAATTTATCCTCCTAAACAAATCGATTAGCTCCGCTGAACCCAAATTAAACTAAATTTCAACGGAAATCTTCACTTAGAATTTCGCATAGTCACGTTCAAGAGAAAAAAAAGATTTAACGGTAAAATTATGAGCGAAGAAAAAGCTAAACGCTCCGGACGAATTCCGGTACGTGTAAAACCAGGAACGTTAAAAAATCAAACAGTTTCAACCGGAACTAAACCCGGAAAAGAAAAATGGTAATGTCGCGTGACCGTACTCGATGGTAAATAAAATATTATTATGGTAGGTTGCAAAAAAGCAAAAAACCTTCCAGAATTCCAGTTTTGGTAAAAACGCGCCGAAAAAAAAGCAAACACAAAGTTGATAAAAAGAAATCGTTCACGAAAATTAAGAAATCACAAAGGTGTGAGGCAGATGAAGATGCTCAAATCAACAGAAAATATTCACCACCGTCACAATCTCAAATTAGTAAAAAACCAAAACCAAAATACGAAGAAACTGCTGAAAAAATTCACTTGCACGAATGTGGAGATTTTGAAGATAAGAGTCGCAAATCCAGTGTTTCTGCCGTGGAGAAATCAATTATTATAGTTCGAGAAAAAGGTGAAGAAATCCCCGAACAAGAAATTTTCGTTGACGAAGAAATGGAAGACACATCAAGTTCAAGTATCCTATCTTTAAAAAACGAAGAAATCGTATTCATTAGTCACATCCGGGAAACAAAAAGCTACGAATTTGGGACTATTTACGACGGTCAAATTGACTCACTCGACGATTTTGATTTAATGCCTCTCCAGCCCGAGTATGATTTCGAAGAAGAGAAAACTCACTCTGCTTCTGAAATTCAAAATGAAGATTACTTCCACATTAACGAATATCTTCAACCCAGGTTTCCCTTCATAGTTATGACCCAATACGAAACCAAAACTCCTCAATACGAAGGAGCCTTGACAAAACTCGAATCCGAAGAAGAAGAATACGAATTTGAACCACAATTCGAAGACAGTGATACCAGTGTCACCATCCAACGGTACATTGACTCAGGTTTACGGCCTTTAAAGCCGGATGAGTCTCGTCTATATCTTGATCCAATTCATTATCAAAGAAAGAAGAAAGTTCCCAGGAGCTACGATGATGGAGTCCAACCGCTCCTCCAAGACATTCCTTCTGACATATTCAAAACACCCAAAATCCCCAAAAAAAAGAGTTTACCGAAAGTAGTACCGGAACCAGAAGTTTTGAGTCAAGAAGAACAAGAACCAAGTGAAGAAAGTCTTGAAATACCTCAACCTCCTGAGAGTATAGACACAGAACCGTTAAAAAAGTTGCAAGAACTTGAAGACACGACTTTCACGATAGAAACTGAGAAAGAAGAAGAAGAAGAGCCTGAGGTTTTAGAAAAAGAAGAAGAGCCTGAAGTTTTGGAAAAAGAAGAAGAGCCTGAAGAAGAAACTGAAGTTTTAGAGAAAGAAGAAGAGCCTGAAGTTTTAGAAAAAGAAGAGGAACCTGAAGAGCCTGAAGTTTTGGAAAAAGAAGAAGAGCCTGAAGTTTTGGAAAAAGAAGAAGAGCCTGAAGAAGAACCTGAAGTTTTAGAGAAAGAAGAAGAGCCTGAAGTTTTAGAAAAA